TAGCTTCATCCATACCTGGCGTTGATCGATGGAAATATTCAATCCTTTTGAGACAAATGGAAAGAAATTGGATCATTTTTCATATCAACCTAGTTGGGAATCACTGCTCTAAAAATGTTGCAAACCTCATCATCAGAGAAGCGTCCAATCGTATTCTTTCCTGATTCCCCGATCTCGTAGAAGCTGGAGGAGAAGTTCCGCGTGAACCGGCGCGAACTGATCGCCTTTGAGTTCCCCGTCCTGGTGGCGTTGGAGTTCAACCTGCACCTCCCCGAGCACGAGGTCATGCCGCACTACAGGCGCTTGCTGCAGACCTCATAGTAGCCGGTGGGCAATCGGCCCCCGCCCCGCCCCGCCTACTTCAAGTCACGGTACTGCACGGTTGGGACTGCACTGCTGCAGAACTTAGTCCTCACCTTTTTTCCCCTCCGCTGCCATTTTGTATATTTTTGACTCTCTTCTTGTTGACTTTGACAACTTTGTATTTTTTAGGGGGTGAAATGGATCTTTTTCTCGTTTATCATTTCATTTTTTTTTTTTTTTTAATCATCAATCTGCTTTGCGTGTGATTGCTTGTGGATCATCGACCATCTTAAAAAGTGCACTTTCCTCCCCCCCAGAATATTACCAGATTTTTTTTTACACAGCTCCGGATTGCAAAATTTGGATCTTTTCTAGTATATGCATGAGGAAACAACATTTGGACTGCTTTTTTCCTCTCTCTTTCAATTTCATTGTGCTATTCCAATCGCTTTGACCAGTGTGTAATCTTCATCTGCTCTATGTTAGAGTGTATCGTTAGCACCTTAAGGTGCTCTTTGGATGGGTGGGGGTCGTTTTTGGAGAAATGTGGGTGTGGTCACGGTGGATAAAAGATAAATGATACCGGCTTCCAAATGCAGCTCATTTGAGTCATTTTCACCTTCGGGAATGGGCTCTTGAGACTTTTAACCCGCGGCCACCATCTTTTATCTCTTTTTCATGGCAAAATGATCGCCCAAAAAAAAGCTTCACAAATTTGCGTTGCCCGTCTGACGAGAGTCTAATTCTGATTGGGGCTCATTTGGGCAAATTTCCTGGGAACAGTTGGACTCAGTACAAGTGTTGGAATTTCTCCAGAATTGCCGTTTCACACCAAAATGTTCAATTTCAGGCACGGGTAGCTTGAGACTTTTTCATGTGTCCTGTTATGTTTGACGTCCACCTAATTTTGCATTGATTGGTGAAACTGGTGTCACATGTAAATTTTCATGGCAAATCCTCAAAATAATCTAGTTTTGGTGCCATGCTCCGCCCACTTTAGATGGCGTAGGGGGAAAAAAGCTTTTTAAATTGCGGTCGTCTGTTAAGGATGCCTGCTTCTGATTGGGGCTCATTTGGGTGAGCCTTGAAATTCACCCAAAATGGCTGACGTAGTTTGTTTTGGGCATGGGCTCTTGAACTTTTCATGCATCCTGTTATGTGTCAGGGGCTTCTTTATGTACCAGGGGGCGCTATCTAGTGACTTTTGGGGCAAGGTCGTGTTTGGGACCACCAAGTAAAATATATCTATCTTTACCAGGATACTTGGCAATGCCTGGTGCTAATCGTTTGATTTGGCATGTTTACAAGTTGTCTTATAATCCTCCTTCAGGAAGAAATTTTTAAAAATTATATAAAGAGCTGAGATGCATTTGCAATTCAGGTAAGACAAATCACACACAAAAATGTGATGAGGGGCTATTTTCAAGTGTAAAAAGAAGTTGGATTGTTGCTGGCACACCCCAAAGATTTCAGAAGCTAAGAAATGACTGACGGTCAAAAATTATTACTGCTTCATTGTCATTGTAAATAAATCACTTTGCTTGTCGAATCAAGGAGAGACTGTTCTTTTTGTTTATTTTTTACGATGTGGCATGGAAAGAGTGCTTCTGGCTATTCTATTTCTGAGCGCTAACTAGCTTTACAGAACTACACTATTATGAATGAGAATTGATCAAATTTAACACTTGCTATGCTCGCAATTAGTGCTTGTGGAATAAGAATGAAACAGAATAATCCACCAGCTGCCATTTTGTGCTGTACTGCCACCTTCTGTCAAGCACAAGAAATGCTCTCGTCAGGTGACAGATTTTGGAGCGCCTTTTCACAAAGAAAGAAAGCAGAAGCCAACCGGTTGAAGGTGTCCCCCACCTACTGCCTGAAGACGGCTGGGATAGGCTCCAGCACGCCCCGCGACCCTTGTGAGGATAAGCGGATCGGAAAATGGATGGATGGATAGAGAAAGCAGAAGCGGCATACTCTCCAAGTTTGGCTTTCACCTTCCCTATCAACTGTTGGAATCTGTCACGTGGACGCTCCAACGTAAACAAGGTCCGGGTCAAAACAAACGGCGAGGGCGCGCGAGATCCGCGGCTTAGTCAGCCCCATTGACGGCTTAATTCCCTCCCTGGGTGGCTCATAAAGGCTTCCATTGACAGGCATCATTGTGAGAACGTGTCATGTCTTTTGGCGGCGTCAATGCATGCCGTCTACCTTTGCCCGGAACATAACAATTGGCTGAGGTGGCGTTTTTTTTTTTTTAACCATCACCGTCGTGTGACTCAGGACTTTTCCCTTGTAAACACGAAGGTCTGGAATGTTGGGCAAGCGGCATGTTAGCCCACTGACCCGTCGTGCTTCTTGATTTATTTTGTTTACCGAGAAGTAATAAGAACCACTGTCCAAGCACATGACATCCATGGGATCGTCTTCATGTCCGACGCAGCCACCTAATCCCTTTTGTTCCAGCCACGAGAGTCAGTTGAAACCGCTGTAATTGCAAACAGTTGACGCAAACCGGCACATTAAACGCCTCTCACACTTATTTATTGATAAACCCGCAAAGGGTCCTCAAGGTCACATCACTATGGACAAAGCACCAGCAGAAATATTTATGGGCCTGCTACCTGTTACGACTCTGTAACCGACCACATAATTGCCAAAGTCAGATTTAGATGTTTGCGGAAAACAGGGACGACCCCCACCCCAAAATAAATAAATTAAAAAAAATGTAAAAATTGCAGAAACAGGAGTCCTGATGCTTCAATTCAACTTAGTCATTTTGATAGTAGGCTAATATAGCCAATATAGATACAGACAGCATGTGTTGCCTTCATTATACGACTTTAATTTTTTTTTGCGGCTCCAGACATATTTGGGTTTTTCTTTTTTGGTCCAATATGGCTCTTTCAACATTACAGACCAAACCAGTAATGGAACCATAACTCGGTTATATTTGTGTAATTTCTGCACCTTGAAATTTGAAATAATGTCCTGTTTTAGAATAAAGGGATTGAAATTAATCTCCCCAACCCCCGGTCTCGGTTTTTTAAAATCCGATTCATCATTAAAAATAATATATATGTATATGTGTGTGTGTGTCATATATATATATATATATATTTAGTAATAGTGTAGTGAGTGAGTATTGTCACGATACCAAAATTAGGTATTCCTGCAAAGGCTTGTTAGATAATCCCACGAGACTAATACTGACACGATACCAGTTGCTTTTAACCGTTAATGCTCGGAATTTTTTTCCTGTTTCGGAATTTGAAATGTACTCCTGTGTAAACAGTCCTAACGCACCTTGTGTCTCACGGGGAACGCAAGTGACATCAGTGTTTGCTTAAGAGCTGCGAACCACAAAAGGTTGAGTACTTTACAAACAATGAGCCACTCAATTCTCAGCATCTTCCTGTTACGTGACACGCGTGATCTGAGCGTCCTCAGCTCGCTATCGCTTTCGCACACAGTCATAGAAACTGTTTCCTGCTTTTAAAAAAATGCTGTCACTTGATCGTTCGAATACCCAATTGGCCATAGAGATTGTATTTTACAACAGCACCGAATGAGTGAGCCTCAGCAGTCGATAGTCCGCTGCTTTCTGCTGTGCGTGCGTCAGCGCAAACGTGTACGCAAGCGCATCTTTTGATTTCAACCAATCAGCGCCGATGCAACCGACGTCACACACGACAACAGATAAGCTAACCGAGACGACACTCTCGGACGGACACGTTTTTCTGCCAATCTGTGTGTTTCCCTTTTTGTCCAAATATATTTTTTACGACAACAGCTGTCCTGTCAACAGCATCTTTTATTCGTTCCACTGGGGTTTAGCAAGTGTGTTTATAAAGAGACGAAAATCTCTTGACTGTTACTAGTGTTAGTGCCTCAACATGGCTACGCTTGTGAAAGCAAAACTACGAACTCAAACGCGTGTTCGTTCAATGTTGTCAACTAATATCCGGATTAATTTTAGGCAATATTTCCTCAATTCTCCGGAGAAATTTTCATTAAAATTTAAAAATCCGGAATTCCGGGAAAACCTGGAGGACTTTCATCAGTGAATTTTTCTAATCTGCTTTTCCTCACGAGGGTTGTGGGTGTGCTGGGGTCTATCCCAGCTGTCTTCAGGCAGTAGGCGGGGTACACCCTGAACCGGTTGCCATTCGCGTTCACACTCACACCTCAGTTCATTTTCGAGTGTGCCATTAATCTGCCATGCATGCTTTTGGAATGTGGGAGGAAACCACAGTACCCGGAGAAAACCCACGCAGGCCCGTGGAGAGCATGCAAAATCCACAAAGGAAGGCCGGAGCTGGAATTGAACATGCCATGCCAGTCGACACCGGGCCGCCCATAATTGTTCATTGCAGTCCTAAATGTGATATTGCAGTCAGGCTCCAACAAAGGAACAAAGTCACAGTTGAATTTCAAAAATACAACTTTATTGTCATCATATTTCACTTGTTATTCCAGATAAAAAGTAAAAGCAGAGTTACGCCTTTTATGCTAACCTCCGCTACTTTATTCATGCAGGGATGTCAGATCTATGTGATGATACGTCACGATCATATCACAGATTTTAATTGACCCAATGGGATCCAGCACGCGGACCCCAGACAACCACCGCACAAAAAGCCCTTCGGCGATCAAGGCCAAGTAGCAGCCACAGGCTCGCATGTTATCTTGGGCTGAGAAATTTTTAATAATGTATTAAAATTTTTCTAAAAACTAGTCTCCAAAAGGAATGGTTCAGTCACTTTTACAACCCAGACACAGTAACTGCATCAATTAAAAATTGTATCCCAAACAAAACAAAAAGTGGTACTGCTCGTTCCAGATCAAGCTGTCATTGTACACATGTTGCAGTAGTCCAGTTCTATGCCGAGTCAAGAGTTCCTTTAGTAAAAGAATGACTTCTCAAACAATACAGTCAAGGATGTGAAAGAATATTTAAATTAGTCCCATAAATTAGAGGTATTCACACGTGCGTAAAGCTGGCACTTAAACCTATTCGGCTACTGCAAAAATGTTTTCTTGTTTACAAAGATCACCCGTGATAAAACTTACTTCCTCAAGTAGACCTCGCTCAGGTGTGCCCAACTCTGGAGGGCTCAAGTAACTCTCTTGTCAACTATGCGAAGAGCAAAACCTGAGTCATTACTAGAGTTACAAACTGCATGTTATTGCATCATTACTCGGTACCAGTGAAGACTTGAAACATGTTGCATGTTAGCTTGAGCTGAGATATGTTGTTAAAAAAAAAAAAAAGTTTATAACAGCGTGTTCGTGGATTTTACGTGTGTGTGTGTATTTTAAAACTGACCAGGATTCCCCTTTAAACATTCCCAAATCACCACCAACGTAGGCCAAGTGTCTGTCAACTGACATCTCTGCATGATATTCCAGTCTCGATTCTATCACTTGAGCGCCAGATGGTAGTCGTGTGACGAGAAATGCCAAGTCATAGTCGTCAGTCCAATCAGTGTAAAAAGACAGCATGGAGACAAAGATGGGGCGAGAGAGCAGGTGGCACTCACGACCCGCAAGCTTCATTGTCCCGTCCATCTGGCCGGCTGTCTCAGTAATTGAGGAGCCGCTCCCTTTCGGTTCCGATGAAGCGCTTGTTGGCCGCAAGCAACTTTGCCCTGTTGGTCGAGGGGCCTGCCAGGGTGATACATGCTCAGTATTCAGTGGATATAAAAAAAAAAAACCTTCCTCAATCACATGTAGGATGCAACAGTACTTGCAACAATTTCCAGCAGCTGTAGACCTCTTTGCTGCCTTCCTGACCACTTCCTTTACAAAACCAAGGATGTGCTGAGTAAGAGGTTTTATACAAATTATACTGTTCATTACTACGACCACACTTGACCTACTGTGTGGAAATATGGGGAAACGCCTGTAAAACAAACACACTCCTTGTTTTAAAACTTCAAAAAAAAAAAATAAAAAGCATTGGTCAAAATATACCGAACCCACGATTACACTATTTATAAATTAAACACGATAAAATTTTATGAATTGGTTGACTTTAAAACGGCCTGGTTAATGTACAACGTATGCAATAACCTGCTCTGCCAAAATACTCAGCTGTTCGAAATTCGAGAGTTGCTATGATTTAAGGGGTACCAACCTCTACACAAAAAAGCCAAAACAAGAATAAACATCAAGCAAAGGTGTGTTTCTGTAATAAGTGTTAATTTGTGGAATAATTTTGAAACGGACCTGAAAATGTGTGACTTGCTTGCTGTGTTCAAAAACAGGTTCAAAAGTACCAAAAAAACCCCTGAAATAAATCTGATTTAAGTTGGTAAATTGATTAAATGCTGTGATGTAACGGAATGTTGATTATGACAGTGAGAGGAAAGTGATATATAAATATGCAAGTGTGTGTGCTTCGGTAGTCCCTGTACAAATCAAAAGTTGGAGAAATATATAGGTATAGCACTTATTTATATGTAGACTTTTCAGATTGAGATATACTACATGAATGACTACTATATTCATATCAAACAAATTAAAACTCACAAAGGACTAGATACATTTTTTACTTCTTTCTACTTCCTTCGAACATGCTGAATGAGGACTATTGCGGGGTTTTTTTCAACTTTACTTCCTGCCAAATTTCTATTATAAGTTTAAATGTTCAGTACACAAACAAATTTTTGTCAGAAAAGTTTTGACTTGGTATAGTATTATTTTACCATAACTATTTTCTCTTTGGCTTTTGTAAAAAGCACTTCTTTCGTGTGTGTGTTTTTTAGATAAAGTTTAAAAGAGATGTGTACTTTTTCTCGCCTTTACGTATGCATTGTCTGCTGTGGACTGACCTATGTAGCTGAGCAGCACAGGCAGAAAGATGAGGCCGTGCGTGGCACCCAACAGCACGATGGCCAAGTACATGCGGAAGTAGAACACCTGGAAGATCTGCGATTTGGACAGCGCCAGGATTAGGATTCCGCCAAACTTTGTCAGTGTGATTCCACTGAACACCTGAGACAAGAGGAAACAGCAGTATAACACAGTGCTTGACATAAACTTCAGCATACACGGCTACAGTCACAAAAAAAAAAAAGGTCATCCATGGGCTTAGCTTTTTGTGCCATACTTGCTTCCAAATAAGGAATTAAACCTCAGCTAATATTGGTTGACCTCTATTTACAGTTGTAAGACTCAGGAATGTTAAAATGTCACGTAAAACCATGACTATACAGTGAAAAGGTTTTTAGTCTTTTTACACTTGCAAGCCAAAAAAAAAACCAAAAAAAAAAAAAACTACGTTATGCTTGCCCCGTCATTTGGTTTTGACTTCGCGTTTTCACATTTTACATTGGTCTACATACATACATGGCAATGGCGAGTGATGAAAAAAGCGGAAGGGGCGTGGCCTGGACGGGGGCGTGGTTACTTACAAAAGTGGCACTAAACATGCTGAAGATGAAGTGTATTCAATTTACACAGTTTGAAAATTGAACAGAAAAAAATCCCAAGATCGCCACTATTCTTTCAAGTGAAAATTTGTGCAATTTTGCCTATGCATTCCTGGTGAGCACCAATATGTAACTCCAAATTTGCTGCTCAAAATCAAAACTAAAAAAGTAAACACATTCCCTGCCATATTTAAGA